GGTAAAAATATAATAAGCTGTCACTGGAATAATTTTAACAGCTGTCGGACAAGTGGCTTAGAAATGACAGCAATATGAAGTTGGTTGCAGTTTTTTATCCCACCCTGTATATTGTACCTATTTGGCTATATATCCGATATCTAGGCTATCGACATAACTGTAAAGGGCAGAGGTGACTTTTTTATGTATTTGTGATTTGGCCGGCATTAAAAATATTCGCGGTTTAGTGAAATTTTTTGTATTTTTTTGGAACTAAAGTTTAGTTTATTTTACCCGCTTAATATTGTCCCATGACAGCCCGAATGGGTTGCCTTTTGTCCAGCCCTAAACTCTAACTCCCTGTTGAATTCCGCGGCGATCGATCGACCTAAGCCCATCTGCATTTTCAATTTCTTGGGGTTCGGGCCATAATTGCGACCCGTAGCTTGATTACAAATTAACGTAAACGGACAGACATTTATAGGTAGATCCACTCAGCTCGGCGATATAGGCAGATCCATACATAGTTTTCTGCGTCGGGGACCAATATTTCGAGGCGTTACATAATTTTTGGCCAAATCGAACTTATAATACCCCCTCCCCCCCCACACACACACACACACACACACTTGGTGTTGTTGGGTTTCAAAATCAAAACCCATCTTATTTGTGAAATTAATTCTTATTATGTACCGCAATATCTTGATATATTCAAAATGGTCTCAGAAACACCACCAAGAAATTGCCGTAAATCATAAGGGTGTGGGATATCACATGGCCAGCCCTTAGACTTATGTGACCGTTTTGATATATTGTAAATACCGCATGAAATACAAATTACACAGCATTGTTTCCATCAAAAAAGCATATTTATACAAAAAAAAAACAGTAAAGAAAGTCCTAAAGTCGGGCGGGGCCTACTTTATGATACCCTACACCACTTTGCTAATTTAGTAGGGATGCGCATAAAAATTAAAAGTTGTTATGGGATAATTCAATGAGACACGCTATGATTATAATTATAATTTAAAGTTCAAAAGACTAAATATGCCGAAGCATTTGTATCTTTTAAATTCGAACTTGTATTGCACATTTGGTGCACAATTAATTTGAAATCGGGTAAAGATATATATGGCAGCCATATCCACGGAACCGATGTACATAAAATTTTGCAAATATATTTCTGAGTTGTATTTGATATATTTCCCTGAATATCGTTGTTACGGAGTGCATATTACGGCTGGGGAGGACAAAAATAACAAATCGGATGAACAATATATATGGGAGCTATAGCTATATCTGAACCGATTTCGATCAATTTTATTTTCAGGTCCAATCTGATCGTACGTGCAAAATTCCATACTATTCGGACGTTTGGTGCACAATAAAAGGCAAATCGGACGAAGATATATATGGGAGCTACATCTAAATTTTGACTGATTATTTCCAATTTAAATAGTGTTCTTCCTTGGGCCAAACAAATGATTTGTGCAATATTTCATCTGGATAGGGCAATAAATGCGAACTGTACTTTGTTTACAAAAATACATGGACAGACGGACGGACGGACATGTATAAATCGACTCAGAATGTGATTCTATGCAGATCACCAAAGGAACTATGGGTCTATCTCGTTTCCTTTTGCATGTTACAAACAAATGCGCAAAGACATAATACCCTAACAACCTTGTGGTGTAGAGCATACATAATACTAATAAAACAAAAAAACCCAAACAGGTACATACATCATGTTGATACATTAGTTTTTTTCAGAACTTACATATTACTTAATTGGCAGCAAATCAAAAGCAAAAAAATGGGGATGTTTGTGGTATTTGAAATGTAAATCCAAAAAAAAAAAAAACACAACTTACGCAGCAGCGCGTTATGACTAATCAATGATTTAAATTATTTCTTTGTTCGTCGCATTACTCATCTGGGAAATCAGGTGGCACGTAAAATCCCTTGGCCAAATACTGATAATCATCTGATTTATTAACATGGAAATGAAAATAATATTTCCACAATAAATAATAAAAATGGTAATAATGATAACGATGTTGATAATAAATCTGGAAATTCTCAATTCAATTCTCTATTAACAACAATTCATCCATCCATTTACCACGGCCGGGATCCTTTCCGTTGCGATGCTCAAATACTTGCTGGAGCTTATAAATAAACTGAACGAACAATTGATACAAAACGAAAAAAAAAAAAAACGGAAGATGGAACTAAGATAAAACAAGTGAATTGTGCATTTCTTTGTGTGTGTGTTTTTTTTTTTTTTTTGTTTTGTTTTATTATTGTTTCTCGCTCGCTCTTCCTCTATTTTCTTTTTCCAAATTTAATTAATGAAATAAATGTTTATTCCTTGGAAACGAAAATACGAAACCAAAGACAATTACGCAAACGAAACGAAACACTTACAATAATAATTCAATGTCGAATTACAAACAAACAAAAATATGAACAGTCGAATAAAAAATGAGATTTGCAAAAGAATATTCGTGGAAAATACAAATTTATTTTATTTTATTTTATTATGATGGGAAAAATAAGATAATAATATTTTAGACAGGAAATATAAGAATAAGAAATCTTGGAAATATTTTAATGCTGTCCCACATGAATATAATATGCCTTTCGATGACAGGAAAGGGGTCTGAAGGGTTATGATTATAATCATAATCATGAAAACTCCTACTGATGTTTATTATTGGGGAACAATTTATTGTTTTCCTGAGGCAGTTTATTTAATAGAATCGGATTGGATGATACTGTTCTTTCTTAAATTTAAAAATTCATACCATACAATACAAATGTAGGGAAAGGTAAAGAAAAAGAGAGATAGAGGGCAAGAGGGAGGGAGGCAGGTAGATAGAGGATATTATATATACGTAAATATTCCATAATTTAATGTAATTCAACTTTTTGTTTCAAAAAATTCCTAGGCACCTCATGTCCAAACTTCGTGATTTTTCGCGGATTAGGCCATCAATCTTGGACTTGATTTTTTTATTTATTTATTTATTACTATTATTATTATTATTTTTTTTTTTTTTGAAAAATGTTTGTTTGGGAGCATTGATTCTGTTCTTTTTCTAATGTCCTGACCTACATTCTCGGAATTTTTTAAGAACATCCTGACCATATATCATGATATTTATCAAATTTTTCTTGGACTGGCTTTTCTACAAAAATTGTCAATATCAAAAAAGGTATACAGGGTGAGTGAAAAAACTGCAACCAACTGCAACCAACTTCTAAGCCACTCGTTCGACAGCTGTTAAAATTATTCCAGTGATAGCTCATTATATTGTTTACAGGCGTACAAAAGCATTTTGGAGAGAATTTTCCACAAAAAAGTTATTCGTGATAGTGTGATTTCTTTATATTTGGCTGGAAAACCACAAGTGGCTATCGTTAGAGCACTCCAGCATTTAAATGTGAATAAATCTTTTATGTCTCGTACCATCGCTCGTTACCGTGATACTGGTAGCGTAGCCCGACGTCAAGGAAGTGGACGGAAGAAAACAGCAACATAAGCAGAAATGGTTTGAAAAGTAAGGAAGCGACTTAATCGAAACCGGCGTCGCAGTGGCCGAAAAATGGCTCGTGAGCTGAACATATCGCAATATTCCATTCGGCAAATATTGAAAAATTAGTTCGGGGCCATTTAAATTCCAAAAAGTGCAAGAACTTATACCGCATCAGAAAAGAGAATAGACTCAAAAGAGCTAAAGAGTTGTGGTGAACTGCCGAATTTGGTTTTCTCCGATGAGAAAACATTCGTTTTCCAGCTGTTTGTAAACAAACAAATTGATCATGTTTACTTGCCAAAGAGGTCAGCTGAAAATGTGCACCTTCGGTTGGCCACCAGAACTCAAGCGCCGGTCATGGTGATGGTGTGGGCCGCCATAACAGCCGATTGTCGCTCTCTGCTCGTATAAATCGACCGTGGCATCAGAATCAATGCCGAATATTATCGAGAAAATATTCTGGAGGGTGTATTAAAGCCTTGGGCATATCCTCGCTTCATTTCCAGCGCACAATGGCCACCAAAATCTCCGGATACCAATCCGGAGTATTTTGGAAAGCAAGATTGGCACTAAAAAATTCCAAAGTGTCGATCACCTTAAGCAAGCGCTTCGCCTACAAGGCGCCGCAGAGTGCGCAGAATGCGTGCCAAAGGAGACCAATTCGAACAAATCTAAACTTATTCTAAAATTTGAACTTATTCTAAAAAAATGTAAAAATTATGGCGGTTGACTTTGTTGCAGTCAAGAGCTAAAAAGGCCACGATTATTCCGTCGAAAATAAGTATATGATGTGGCAGTGATCAGTGTTAGTGTCAACTAATTAGGGATTGGTGGAAGCGGGTCCTGAATAACTTACATCCGTTTTAAAGATTCATATTAACACTGTCTTCTGCCTTTCTGAGACGTTGTCGGCGGTTTGACAATCCCTTCAATTGATGGACTGTATAGATTGCGACTGTGGTCAGGGAAAAATCGTTTCAGAAAATGTCGATGTGTTTGAAAAGTAGAATAAGAAAAGGTGGATCTTTTAATAAGTTAATCTACACTCGTAATAAAAAATAATAATAATAAAATGCTCCAGACTTAGGCTATCATAATAATTATAGATACTTTTCCACTTTTGAATATCATTTCCTCTTCCCTATTTAGGAAGTCAATTATTGGTGTCTTAATTTATATTTTAAAAAACTAGATCCACCATAAGCATATTATTATTATTTATTTTTTACAGACATAGAATTTTGTTATATTTAATTTGTTAAATTATTATAATTTATTTTTCGCTATGTTAAGTTCTCAACTTTTACAGATTAAAAAAATCATTACTTCAATGTTGTTCATCGACCCCTTTTCCACAAAAACAAATAAAAAAGTCTTATGTTCGTTCAGCAACATTTCTTTATGTTGACAACACTGTTTTTAACATATGAATATGAATCAATCTTTAAATAGCACTTCTCATCGAGCTTCAGTCTCAAACCTGATGGCAGATTCACTTAAACACAACTTAAAGTGTTTCAAAAAAATCTCAGTGAAAACAGTCTGCCGCAGACCATCAAAACAAACGGTTGGCTAAACAACGAAACGCTGAACGCTCGGTTGGTTCTCACCATTGTCGTCAATAAAACAAACAAGTGTCGTCGACGTCGAAACAACGGCGGGTTCTATGTGAAACAAATCTTTGTTGATAAAAGTGCGATTTGAGGGACACGGTTCAAGACAAAGGTCAAAGACATTGTTTTCAGTCGCTTTGTAAAGCGATAACCAATTGGAATTACCAGCTAGTGCGGGAAAATTGAAAAGCAAAAAACAGACGCCGGGAATGGCTTGTGGTGCAATGGATTTACCCAAACGGTCAGTGGCATTTTTATGGCCCATCGTTATTTTTCTGATCGCCTTTAATCTCAACCTCAGCAACGTTCATGCCCAACGTAAGTATGGTTCGAATACGAGCAGACAGAGATTGCTGCATGTTTGATAAGCCATAACAATAATGGAATAGTTGGACGAGCATTTAATGGCAACCTAAGAAATGCTCTTATTTTCATTATTGTCTTTATGATTCATGATTCTTCCATAAAGCGGTTTGCCTTAATCGTATACGACGATGTTTATTAATGATGCTAATAAAAGCCGCTACCGTTGTCGCCACTGCTGCTGCGCTGCCAGCTACTAACTTGTTTTGCTGTTAATCACCAACGTTGCACGCGCGAGAGAGGAGAGAGAGAGAGTAAACAAATCTGCTATTCCAATGTATATTATACGTTCGTATGGTCGCAATTGAATAGATTTCTTTGAACAAAACAAAAAAATTAATAACCAAACGCTTTCATCGAATATCCACAAAATAAACAAGTTTTTGATTGAAAATGTGATTTGCGTTTCAAGTGCACCACCAAAACACATTTGAAACTTAGCTTTCAATTCACATGATCCAATAACACCACCAGCAACTTGATGTATCCCGAATCAAGTGTGGAACTAATTTTAGACGTCCCATGAATACCAAAGTCGTTAAAAAGATTTCCATTTTACATTGACCAGTTCAGTGAACCAGTAAAGAAGTAGTGCAAAACCATGATTTATCAACTGAAAATGGCAAAGAATTAATTTTCAAAAATAAAGTTTAAAGAAAAACAAGTAAGCAAAGGCTAAAGTCGTGCGGGGCCGGCCATGTGATACCCTACAACACTACAATATGTTAGAATGGATTTGGACATACAATTTTGAAAGATTTCGCTTTTGAAATGTTGTCACGGAGCGCTGCCCAGATATTACCCTTAGCATTTTGACCAGGGACATTTGCCAAATATTTACGCACTCCGCCATGCTCTTAGTTGTTGTGGTCCATTTTACAGCTAAATATAATCCAAAGGTCATCCAAAATGCTAGAATTCTTTCCTGTCCTTAACTCCCTTCTCAGGCGTGTCGATTGGCTTCAATTGTGTGATCAGGAAAATTTTTTTCTGTTTTTGGTTCATTTGAACCCCTAAATATTTTGCGATCACCTCCAAGAGCAAGAGGCCACTCTGTATCTCCAAATTTTCTCTCATCTATATGATTTGCCTGTCTTCGATATTTGACTATATTCCTCAACGAAATCAGAATAAAAAAAAGCCAGAAATGGTTCATTCTACCTGCTGTCCTAAATTCTCGTGTCCTTTGGTTTCTATTAGTGACCTTTATAACGACTCCCCTAAATATATTGCGTACATCTTTGAAAACAATACGCCTAGCCCTTCTGATCCTAATCCTACCCTTTTCGTGAGAATCGGACTATAACTGCAAACTGTATATAATAACCCCAACCTGTGTTGTTAAGTGAAAACATTTTACAAAATATACACTGCAATATTATAAGTCAAATTAAAAAAAGTCGCATGCGATAAAATATATAAAAAATCTCATGCGATAAGATATATAAAAAAATAAAAAAATGTTACAAAATCTATATTAACATCATTATTGGCATCTTTGTGGAAGACTTTTACCCAGTCCTAAGCTCTAGCCCTATGATAAATACCGCGTCGATTGGTCTATAATTGCGTCCTGTATAGCAACTGCAAAATCAGGAAAATTTTCAGTTTTTGGTCCATTTCAACCCCTAAATATTATGCAATCATTTCTATTCTGGCTCTAGCCCCACCTCCATTCTAAATTTCATGAAGATCGGACCATAATTGCGACCTATAGAGTGATTACAAATTAACATGGACAGACATTAGACGGACGGACATACATAGCTAGATCGACTCAGCTCGGCGAGCTAGGAAAATCCATATATATTTTCTTATGTGGGAAACCAATATTTCGAGGCGTTACATAATTTTGGCCCAATCAAACTTATAATACCCCCAACACATAGTGTTGTAGGGTATAATTACAATCTATTAATCCATATATTATGACAATTATTAAAGCATTTCAATTAAATTAATTCACATTTTCAAACGAGCACAACCTAAAGCCACTCGTGCCCACTTAGTAAACCCATAATGTGCAAAAAGCCTAATTGAATTTAAAGAAGTTTTATTGAAAGAAACTCTCTTCTTTTTTATTCCGAAATATGAATTTAAATTCATCAGCCAACTGGCAATCTGTTGTTTCTGCACTGCATTAGCTCGACACCGGTCACCTGCCCAGGTGTATGTGTGCGTGTGTACGTTTAGTACACGTTCAACACCAAGTGTCTCCCAATGGTCTAATGGTGCGACGACAGCAACAGCAGCAGCTATCACCATTAAATGAATTAAGTCAAATAATGTTTCTCATTTTGTGGACAAACTGTGGTGTTAATAGAATTCTACCACACTTACATTCATTTTTTATTGGTCACGTAGCCTTTTTTGCCGAAACGGCACCAGCTGCCGTAAGCGGTCGCATAAAAAGAAAATGTGAATGAATTTCAAAGACGCTCTTGAAGAAATTGAACGTGTTGAGTTTGAAAGTGTGTCTACAATTAACACCCTGTTTTGTAAGAAATTTGATATGAAGTGGTGAAAAAGTGATCAAATTTAAATGAAAATGAAATTATTTTCTGTGGTATTTATTCAATGGATGTGGTTCCAGAAACTATAGATTCATATAGAATGACATTATATTTTCCTCGAAGGGAGTATTCGATTTGCTACAAACCACGACCATCGTAATATAATATTACCGAACTTAGAATCAGTTCAGTTAAAAATTTTCAAGAAAATATAGAAAAATTTCATATAGAGCAAAGGGTTGAAGATAGTGTGAAAATGGACCCTTCTTTTATTTTCCTCCCCAATATAATAATAAATGATAAATAAATATTCACACATTTCAATATTTTTACTACATTAGATTATATCTTATGTGAATATGAGATATATAGGTCCAAACTTTCGATACGACTCCCAAAAGGGGCATACATCAACAAGTGGGCAAATGCTGAAGATACAAATCTCTCTGATGTCCATCTACCCGTTTGTTTGTCCGCCTGTCTGTTTATCCGTCTATAAAAATTATTCTAGCTTCCGAACTAAATTAAGTAGTTAGGAATTTATGTTAGTAGAAAATAGGACATAGATGAAATAGGATTTGGCATGGCTCCAATATAATAGTACCACCTTATTTAGAGTATTTTAACGTCGGCAGTTTGTGTTCCCAAAAACCTTCCTTGCAAAGAACGTTATATATAACGTTACCTCGGTGTATCCGTCTGTGGAAATCACTCTAGCTAAAATTCATGTTATGTCTGCAGGACTTTGGGGTATTGAAAATAGGCCATGTAGGTCCACCACCACCAATTTTCGGTATTTTGGTGATTAAAGGGACAAATGTGGTATTTAAAGTTCGTAATGGATACTACAGCCTATGACAGAAAATTGTTTGTGCAGGTCCACGTCTTCGTATAGCCCCCATATAACCATACCTCCTGATATTTGACGATTTTAGCGACATTATTCACCGTAATTGTTTCAAACTGGTATTTCAGATTCGTAATGGATACTACAGCCTATGACAGAAAATTGTCTGTGCAGGTCCAAGTTTTGATATAGCCCCCATATAGAGGTACCTCCCTATATTCGGTATTCTGATGATTTTAGGTACATTATTCCCGGTTTTTTTCAACTTTCGCATTTTAATATTGTAATGGCTTATGACAAAAGTCGCCTATACAGGTCCACGTCGTCGTATAGACCCTAATATAACGGCTACATTCAAAAATTTTAAGATTTTAACAGAATTTTTAACGGATTTTTTTTTTATTTTTTTGAAACTTCCGTTCGTTCCAAATGGTGGAGGGTATTCAAAGTTTATGTTTTTTGTTTTTTTTTTTTTAAGCAAATGCATGAAATTTGGAGAAAATCAGTCCAGATATACCTATAGCTCCCATATATATGTTTCATCCGATTTGTGGGTTTAAGTCCCTCACAAGCGTAATATGCCCTCCACAACAACGATATTTGGTACCAGATAACTTATGGGGCACAAATACATTTCTGTCAAATTTTATCGAGATCCGATCAAATTAGGATATAGCTCCCATAAATATATCTCTATCCGATATCAGATTTCTTGTGCACCAAATGGATAATATCAACACAAATGAACTGAATTTTAGCATCCCAGAAGTAAGTACTTCAAATTTGGTGAAAATCGGTTCAGACACAGCTACGTCTACGTCACATAAATTTCCAATATAAACTTTTTTGTTAAGTGAATACGCATAGTGTTGTAGGGCATCACACAGTCGGCCCCGACCGACTTTTGACCTTTCCTTATTGGTTTCTTTTCAATACCTCTTGGTATACGGCATTCCGTCTACCCAAGTGATGAAATGGCTCTAGTTCCAGAACACTACAAAGTAGGATTATACAATATTTTTCAAAACTATTTTTTTGGGCCGTAGATTTTTTGGTTTGTAAATAATTTTCACTCAAATTTGTTTAAAATCGCAGATTGTATTTGGAAGAAAATTTCCCAAGTTTTGCAATAGACCGCAAATAGTGGTGCTTTCCAATATTCTTTACTTCAACTATCTTGGCCATATTTTACAGAGATCCAGAGTATATAAGGATATATCTGACTATATTCCTCAACGAAACCAGCATCAATTTAAAAATAGTCCTTTTTATTTATTTAAAATTTCGTTTTTTTTCACACCACAGCTATGTTCTAATTCAGCCGTTAATATTATCCGACGACGTATTTTACTCTAACTTCTTAAAAAATTCCGATTGGTCTATGATTGTGATATTTAAAGAGACTGCAAAAGCAGGCTTTATTTGCTTTATTCCATCCCCATAATATTTTACCGACATCTCCCTCGAAATACCCTTGACCCCTTAAAAATCGTATGCAAATTTTCTTACATAACTTCAACTTAACATTTATCAAACCGTCATGTAAAGGGGATGTACCTCACGAACTGATAAACATATCATTCGTTTCCCATCATGATGGAGTGGCATTAAAACATTTCCCAGTAACCAGAACTATCAAACTGATATTAAACTGTAAAAATCTAGTCATTTGCATTCCATCAGAATAAATTGTTAATAATTCAACTCTTTTTGTTTTTTTTTTTTTTTTGCAATTGGTTGCATGCGTCAGCGACAAATGTAAAATAAACGTGTTTCCAGCTGATGTAGCTGTTGGAGTCAATCGTCGACTTGTTTTGTTAAACAAACAGAGCGCCAGTCAAAAAGTATTAACAGCGGCAGCTACGGCAGCGACAGCACCAGTAACAGTAACAGTAACAGTCGGGGAATCAACATTCATGTCATATTTATCAAAAAATAGAAGCAATTAATTATTGTTGCTGTCGTAAAAAAAGTATATTTTACATTTGTAGCGTATTAATAACCAGTTTTATATGTAATCTACTATTTGTTGTTGTTGTTGTTATTGTTGTTGTTGATATACATCCATGTCTATAAATTTATATGCAGAGAGCTGCAGCAATCCAAATGGAAAAACCGGTGAATGCATTTCAATTTATGACTGCAGCAGTTTGGTGAATTCATTAAAGAATTTAAGCCGGAGTGCCCAGCAAACGAAATTCATACAGGAATCTCAGTGCGGCTTCAGCTCCCCGCCCTTTGTCTGCTGCACGACGGATATTGATTATGCAGAGAACAGTAATGAGCTACTGCCGGTAGGCACACAATGCGGCCCCCAATCGATTGGCAATAAGATTTACAATGGCAACGATACGAACATCGATGAATATCCCTGGATGGTGTTGCTCGAGTACAGAAACAGTAAGTATGGGTGAGGAGGGGTGGGTTAGAGTTATTTTATTTTGTTTACAAGGTCATGTGTTGAGATTTATTTTTCCCCCATTCTTTTGTGATTATTTATTTCCTGTCAATGTGTGATTGTTTCTTTGGTCGATGCCTCCCAAAAAAAAAGAAAATGGACAATTGATTTTGAATTGTGGCGGAAGTCTCATCAACAAACGATATGTCATCACTGCGGCCCATTGTATTAAAGGTCAAATTGAAACAGAAGTTGGTCCTTTGTAAGTGTTTTGATGCAATTTCGGCAGAAAGGAAATGCCTCCACAGATGTATTCATTTTTAAATATGATTTTCATCTTTTATTCTGGTTCCAATAGAACCCGCATCCGTTTGGGTGAATACAACATCAATGAGGAAATCGATTGTATTGCCGATGATTGCAATAACAAGGTTGTTGAAGTGGGCTTCGAGCAACTGATACCCCATCCCCAGTATGATGTGCGGAACGGCAACAATCATCATGACATTGCCCTCATCCGCCTGGCTCGAGATGTGGAATATTCGGATTTTATACGCCCCGTTTGCTTGCCATTGACAGATACTCGTTCGGCACCCATCAATCCTGGTGAACTACTCGTAGTGGCCGGTTGGGGTAGAACTTTGGAGGGTAAGCTCTTTAGTTACATGGGAAAACAATTGGTGAGAGAATAATTTTTAAATATTTGAATTTGCATTTTTAGCCCGACAATCAAACGTGAAAAAACAATTGGCCATACCGGTAACAGATCACGATAGCTGTGTCCGAAAGTATGCCACAAAGAAGGTCAATCTTATCAGCTCTCAATTGTGTGCTGGTGGAGAATTTGCAAAGGACAGTTGTGACGGTGATTCTGGTGGTCCGCTAATGCGCCAATCTCACATGAAGCGTTGGTTTTTGGAGGGCATTGTCTCGTTCGGCAATCGCTGTGGTTTGGAAGGTTGGCCCGGTGTTTATACACGAGTTGTCGACTACATACCCTGGATTAAACAAACTGTTAAGCCTTAAGTATCAAAGACAGAGTAAATGGTTGTTGTTTCAATAAAATAAAATTAAAAAAAAATCATAATTCATTAGAAAATTAGTAATGATACCCTACACCCATATGCATATTTAGTACAGTTCCCGTAACAAAACTATTTGAAGTATTTCATACCACCTATCAAGATTTGACTTTAGAGCAGTTATAGTTTGGTTTCAGAGGGAACTAATCTATGGGAGGCATATTCAATTCTGAATCGATTTTCAATAAATTTGACGGATACATTTTAATCTGTTATATCAAATAACATCGCTATTGAGTGCATGAGAAGGATTATATTAAAAAATATATATTGGAGTTCCACAAAATGGAAACGTACGTCCTGAAATTCCTTTGGACTGATATTAGCCATTATGTGCACAATAAACCTGAAATCGGATTAAGAATATTTAGGAGCAACATCCAAATCTTAGCTGATCTCGATAAAATTTGGCAGAGGTATTTCCGAACTCTATAAGATATCTGATACCAAAAATAATTTTTGTCGAATGGATACTACAAATGTGAGGGACTTAAACACCATATCGGATGAAACAGATATATGGGAACAATAGCTATATCTGAACCAATTTTCACTAAATTTGATGTACTTGCTTTTAGACTGAATTCGGTTGGATGTACCAAAATTCAGGTCATTTGGATTTTTTGACAGATATTGGTCATTTCGTGCATAATTAACCCGAAATCGGTTGAAGATATATATTAGAGCTATGTCCAAACCTTAACCGATCTTGATACAATTTTGCAGAGGTATTTCTGGGATGTATCTGATATCTTATACCAGACTTCATTCTAGTGGAATGCATATTACGAATGTGGGGGGCTTGAACACCAAATCGGATGAAACATATATGTGGGAGCTTTTGGACTGAAATGGGTCGGATGTAACAAAATACAGGACTCTTAGACTTATAATAGCCATATTTTTTAGTGGCAACCTTGCTTTCCAAAATACTCCAGATACAATAGTCCGACGGATTGGTATCCGGAGATTTTGGTGGCCATTGTGCCCTGGAAATTAAGCGAGGAACCTCATTTTGTAACTATTCTTGGGTGGCGCTTGCTGAGTCCTGTTGGAATATGTTGCCCAAGGCTTTAATACACCCTCCCGGAAATTTTCGTGATTATATTATATTATATATAACATATACGCTTTTGTAAACAATAAAATGAGCTGTCACGGGAATGATTTTAACAGCTGTCGGATGAGTGGCTTAGAAGTGACAGCAGTCTGAAGTTGGTTGCATTTTTTTCATTTGACCCCTATATTGTGCATTTGGTGCACAATTTACCGATATCGGTTGGGGATATATGGAAGCTATATCTAAATCTGTTCCTATTATCACCAATTTCAATAGCGTTCGTCCTTTGACCAAATAAATATTGTTTGGAAAATTTCATCTCAATCGGATAATAAATGCGACCTGCATTTTGTTCACAAGAATACATGGACGGATGTACGGGTCTATTTCGCTTCCTTCTCCCTGTTGCAAACAAATGCACAAAGACATAATACTCTTACCACTGTGTGGAATAGGGTATAAAAATTAACTGAGAGCCAGTATTTGTTATATACACCTATCGTTATGGCCAAAGAGAGTTATTGATTTCATGTGACCAAAATTTGGCTCATCCAAATAATAGCTTAGGTCCATGCATCTACGTCTACTTGTCTGTCTGAGGCACATAAGAACTCTAAAAGAAAATATCTGATTTATTATTTATTAAGGTTAGATCGATTTCTGAGAGGACATTGGGCTGGGGTTTTTTCCTGGTTTCCTATCAAATTAATATCAAGCCATCTTTACAATATGAACATATAATTTAAATGTCATTTCGTGCAATTCTTCCCATTCCCCTTTTATTTACAGAATTTTGGTTGCCCATTCCATATACTATTAAATCATAAATATACTTTTAATTTAATAGTATAAATATACTATTAAATCATAAATATAAAATATAAATAAGCTACAATCTAATGATACACATCATAATTAATGCATACACATATGCACAAAAAGTCTCTTTTTCCCAATGATACTCACCAGCTTTAAAGTGTGAGTTCAACAGCTAAATACTTTATGCCCTTCTCATTTCATTTTTTTTTTCGAAACTTTGCTGATATTTTCTGATAGGTACTTTACTATAAGCTATTTATAACCAAAACTATTAAAAATGCACAAATAACGCCTTCCAACACCAACACCACCATCACACCAACAACACATACATAGACAGCAAACAAAACTTTGTACATAAATTAAAACACATTTACCAACTAACAAGCGGAAAAAAGCCGCTCATACACAAATAAACCATGAACCAAGAGCGATGACAATGAGAAAAGGCAAAAAAAAAAAAAAACGATGCAAGAACAAATAGGGATTCGTGTGCATAAGTATACTTATGTATATCTGTGTGTACGTACGACATTTGTTGAGTGTGTATTATGAAAATTTATGTAAATTATCAGCACATAATTTATCACATTTGCATTCAGCAATACCTTCCCACTTACAGCCAACCATTCATGGCCTTTCAATGCCAAATGCACAGCAGTTGCGCGCTACCCCCTTCCCGCCCAACCGAGTGGATGGACAACTCTAAACGCCATATAATGGATACAAATTGCTGAAATTATGATGGACACATGCATTTACCCCCCAAAAACAATGATCAGAAGTCCACAACAGACTGGTCAAGGGGTGGTGTGCTTCTATGATAGATGTGTGTATGTGAGTGTAATACAAAAACAATCAGCATTCATTAGAGGCGAGTAGAGCGATGAAGCTTTAATCAGTTCTTAGCTCAGTCCCTTGGAAAAAAAGAGGGCTTTAAGAGGCAGCCATATATTCGAGAGCATATATTCAAGATTTTTTTTCAGTGAGGGTTAAAAAATATATGTTTGTGAAGAGCTTTAACAAATTAACCAATTTGAAGCTGTATTCCTCATGAAAAGACAATTCTATGGAAGATCAGTAAAAAGTGGGTCATTAAATAGAGATTAAAAAGTAAATCCCATCGATAATCGTCAGGTATTAAAGCATTATGCATGTTAGTATTTTTATGGAACGACATTAGGTCTTCTGATAGAAAATTAAAAAGCTTTCTAGTGGATATTTTTCATCTCACAGAAGACGGGTAGTAGATCTTCTCATAGAAAATCGGCCGTAGCTCTTCTCATAAGAGAGCAGTAGTAGCTCTTCTCATGGAAGAGCAGCATTAGCTCTTCTCATAGAAGAGCAACAGTAGCTTTTCTCGTAGAAGAGCGGCAGTAGTTCTTTTCGTAGAGGAGCAGCAGTAGCTCTTTTCATAGAAGAGTTGTTGTAGATCTTCTCATAGAGGAACTGGGGTAGTTTTTCTTATAGAAGAGCTCTGGTAGCTCTTCTCATAGAAGTGATCTGGTAGTTTTTCTTATAGAAGAGCTGTAGTAGCTCTTATCATTGAAGAGCTGTGTTTACTCTTCCCACAGAAGAGCTATGGTAGCTCTTCTCATAGAGGTGCTCTGGTAGCTTTTCTCATAGTAGATCTTTGGTTGCTCTCTTCAAGGTAGAGCTGCTGTAGCCTTTTCATTGATGAACAGTGGTAGAAGAGCTGTGGTAGCTCTAGTCAGAGAAGAGCTGTGGTAACTCTTCTCATAGAAGAGCTGTAGTAGCTCTTTTCATAGAAGAGCTGTGGTAGCTCTTCTCATATAATAACTGTAGTAGCTCTTCTCATATAATAACTGTGGTAGCTCTTTCCTCATAGGCGACATATGGTAGCTTTTTTCATAGTAGAGCTGTGGTAGCCTTGTAGAAGAGACGGAGTAGTTCTTCTAATGGAACACAGTAGGTTTTATCTCATTGACGATCTGTCGGACATATTATTTTATCAGGGTGGACCAGTTTTCTGCTGAAAGTCAAGAGGTATCTGGTATTTCTTAACTTTAAGACCTTACCATTAAGTAGAAGACCAGTATATTTTGTGATAGAAGTGCCGTATACCACTTTTCCTAGCTAGAATCGAAAGACCTCTTATAGAATGGTAGGTCTTTTCGCATAAGACCCTCCTATATAGTTTTGCCCACTATCATAGCACTGTTATTCCTTCAATTGCTGATAACGTAGAAATACCTCAAACAACAGACATCCCGAACAATAACTAGGACCACACCCCACCAAAAGCAAAAACTTTCTACCTCGCTAAGTTCGCTTGACTCTGATTTTTTTTATCTGACAACGCCATCGTTGCAAATGTTTCTGTAATTTTCGAGTATTTGGTAATATTAACTGTTTTTAAGCTGTTTGTTGGTTGCTAACATAAACTTTTGTTCGATGATAGATGTTTGCGCGTGAGTGTGTGTGTTTGTGTTGAATGCCTGACAACGAGTCACAGGGAGACGAGGTTGGTGGCCCAAAAATGAACTCACAACCAAAATTAGGAAACTAACTATCAACTAAAACTATGCCACCATCGACGGTGGATCAGCGTCGAAAAAGCACCCAGGCCGTAACATGCATTATCGCTTACACATGTAGCCAGCGACAAATTCGCTACATTATAAACCACCACATGATGCATGCATTACTCTTGGCCCGAAAATGAAGGCAAGGTGGTAAATTTGGTCATGGCAATGCCACCGACGATGACGACGCTGATGACGCTGATGTTTGCTGCACTTTGGTTCCACTAAAAGTTTGTTAGTCAAAGTTCGGTCGCATTAGAGTGGGGGTAAGCTGCTTTGCTTGGCCATACATAAAGCTCTCCCCACACACACATTTAAATACTTTTTTTTGGGAATTTAAACAAACATAAAGCCACACAACCTTTGATCAATGGATATATTTTGTAGGAGTTTGTGTGTTTTTGTGTCTCAAAGCCACAGATAAAAAAAACCGGGACTTGGGGTATAGAAATGTCAACTTTTTTTTAGTTTTTTGGGTTTTTTTTTTTTTTTTTTTTTTTTGGTGGAGGACATACTAAAGTGTTGCTGGTGCAAGTAATTCCTTAAAAGTGTACGGAAACACTTGTGTGTTGAAACAGCA